AAGGAGGGAGAAGGAAGGAATAGGAAGGAAGGGATAGGGGAAGGAAGTAAAAGGGAAGGTGGGAAAGAAAGAAGAAGGCAGGAAGGAAGGAAGGAGAGAAGGAGAAGGAATGGAGGATGACATGAAGGGAAGGGGAGGATTGTTCATTTAACTAGCCCACAGCTTAGCCCACAAAGGGAGTTGCCTGCTCCTCTGATGCTCCCTCTTCTCTGATTCTGCTCACCCAGGTGCCGTTACTCCAGGTCCGAGGCCCCTTGTTGGTGGTCCAGCTTATGGAGACCACCCTGCTGTGCCTGGTGAACTACGCCAGGTGAGTCGATGCGAGGAGCCACGGAGGTTTGGCGTGGTCCCTCTGTTGATCTAAAGCAGGGCTCCCCAAACGTGGCCCCTTTAAGACCGGTGGACTTCAACTCCCAGCATCGCTGGCTGGAGAATTCTGGGAGTTGAAGTCCACCAGTCTTAAAGGGGCCACGTTTGGAGACCTCTGGTCTAAAGTGACGCGTAGAATATTTTAGGCTCGAAACCTTGAAACCTTCCCAGCTCAACATGACCCGTTTTGAACGTGAGTCAACCCAGTCGTCCATTTCGAAAGATTTTTCAGTGTTACGATGTTGGGCTTATCTTTTCCTGGGAAATTTAACCACGTTTTCCCCCAGTGGATCTGAGATTGATATTCCAAGGTTTACTGAGTAAAGGTAATAACATTCCACAGAAGTCCTGGATTCCAAATTTTACTATCCCATTTGAAGTACCTTGGTTCAAAAGTTGTTGTCCTATGATGTAATGTTTCACTCAGGTTACAGGAACAAGAGTTTTAGCAATGGATAGATTAAAAAACAGCAGATAATAGAATAGGAATAGAATAGAATAAGGAATAGAAATAGAATAAGAAATAGGGAATAGAATAAGGAATAGAAATAGAAATAAATAGAATAGAATAGAATAGAATAGAATAGAGAATAAGGAATAAGAAATAGAATAAGGAATAAGGAATAGAAATAGAATAAAGAAATAGAATTAGAATAACGAATAGAATAGAAATAGAATAAGGAATAGAATAGAAATAGAACAGAATAGAATAGGGAATAAGGAACAGAAATAGAATAAAGAATAGAATAGAATAGAATAGAATAGAATAGAATAGAATAGAATAGAACAGGGAATAAGGAATAGAATAAGGAATAGGAATAGAATAAGGAATGGAAATAGAATAAGGAATGGAAATAGAATAAGGAATAGAAATAAAATAAGGATAGAATAGAATATAGAATAAAATAGGGAATAAGAAATAAGGAATAAGAAATAGAATAAGGAATAGGAATAGAATAAGGAATAAAAATAGAACAAGGAATGTAATAGAAATAGAATAGAATAAGGAATAAGAAATAGAAATAGAATAAGGAATAAAATAATAACTTTATTGTCGCTTTGAATGTACCCTAATTGGCATACATTAAAATGAAATTTCGTTGCATACAACTCTCAGAGGGTCACCCCCTCCAATATATACTACATGACAAAATAAGTAGATTTTGTAGATTCAGTTGTAAAGGATGTGTCGAGATTTCCACAGGATATTTTTGGCGCGACATGTCTATCGAAGTCACCAGGCTCTGTAAATGCTCGTTCAAAGTTTAGGGGGTGAATCGTTTTATGCCAACTTTTCACGTGCATTAAGAAAGAACAGAACGTAAAAGTAAATTTAAAAAGGCAACCAGTCCTTGCAGTGCCCTTAACTTTGTGATTGCTCTGAAATGAATAGATGACCAGGTAATATTATGGTAAGTAGTTAATTCTCTGTCAGCTGCCACTTTAAGCTTAAGTTTCACTGCTACGTAGTGATAGACTTGCCTTGAACTGTAGGGAGGGTGGATGAAAGGAGAAACACTTGGGAAACTGAAAGTAACCACTCTGTCTCCTCCAGATCCTGCTTCAAGGTCACTTGGCTGGAAAAAGGGGGGTCGCATTTCAACCTGAGCTTGAACCAGGGATGGGATTCTACCTGGTTCTATAGAACCAGTTGTTATGATTCTGCCCAGTTCAGAGAACCAGAAAATTGCGGCACTGGTTGGCCCCTCCCCTACTCACTCCTTACCTGGCATGCGCGCCATCAAACTTGCCTGCTAAGTTGCTATTTTACCTTTTTTTTCCCCCAGCCATGAGCTGTTCTGCTATGCCAGCAGATTTAGATTAGCTAGAAAGCAGGAAACCGTTGGATTTCTTCTTTTTTAGCTAATCTAAAAGCAGAGCTGAACCTTCCTTAGGACTAAAGCTTCTATTTTTCAGTGCAGACTCAGGTAGCAGATTACAGAAAGATAGATCTCTGAGTGAACCTGTGATTCTGCGAGCAACTCAGCAAATCAGCCTGCTTTGTCTGACTTTGGGTAAAAGTTGCTCTTTTTCTAATAAAAAAAAATTCAATATTTACATACATGGTGTGAGTTAATTTTGTGGGTTTGCTTTCTAGCAAATGTTATGAGTTTGCTTGCAAGCAAATTTTATGTGACAGACTCAGGTAGCAGATTGCAGATGGATAGATCTCTGAGTGAATTTGTGATTCTGCGAGTAACTCAGTTGGCCTGCTTGCTTTGTCTGATTTTGGGTAAAAGTTGCTATTTTTTAAATAAAATATTCAATATTTATATACATGGTGTGTTGTGAGTTAATTTTGTGAGTTCGCTTGCTAGCAAATGTTATGAGTTTGCTTGCAAGCAAATTTTGTGTGACAGGCGCAGGTAGCAGATTGCAGATAGATAGATCTCTGAGTGAACCTGTGATTCTGCGAGCAACTCAATCTGCCTCCCTGCCTTGCCTGATTTTGGATAAAAGTTGCTCTTTTTCTAATACAAAAAAATTCAATAGTCGCATAAATATTTACAATATTAACATACAAGCCATGCCCAGCCAGTCGTGTGACCACCAAGCCACACCCAGTCAGCAAGCCACGCCCAGCCAGTCACGTGACCACCAAGCCACAGATTAGGCCATGCCCACACAACCGGTTGTTAAGCAATGTGACTCCCACTCCTGGCTTGAACCGATCATCATGAAAACATGTTGTCTGAACCTGCTTGGTTATAGGGGGCCGTGGGTGGCAGGTAAGGTTAGGAAAGGTTGAACTTGGGGTTTTGGGCATGCAATTTTCAGTTCTGGCTATTCGATACTGCAGCACACCGGACGCTCGAAAAAAAACGATACCCTTTTCCACCAATGGAGCCAGGAGTCGTTTTCCTTTTGAGTTTTTAAGTTGCGGCAGGCCTGACGTTCTCCAAATGGGTTTTGCTTCTACAGCCTGGTGGCCACAAACGCTGCCCGGTTCCGTCTTGCAGCCGGCCCGGGCAAGAAGCTGATGGAGATGGGGCTACGCCGGGCTCAGGGGCTGGACGGAGGCCTCTCGGCGTCCAAGTACTCCTACGTGGGCGGTAAGGTCCAGTTTGTGACTCTCCTCTCGAAGGCTGCGGTGGGAGGCCGGGGGGTCAGTCCCATCCAGGTAGACCAGACCCTGAGACCGACTCCACAGGGAGGCCGGAAGCGCTTGCAGGGGGAACGGCCACGGCTACAAAACGCCTCTCCCTTTCTCCCTCTCTTTCCCCCCCTCTCTTTCCCTCCCTCCCTTTCTCCCTCCCTCTCCCTTTCCCTCCCTCCCTCCCTCTCTTTCCTTCTCTCCTCCCTCCCTTTCCCTCCCTTCCTCTTTCCCTTCCTCTGTCTCCCTTTTCCTCCGTCTCCCTTTCCCTCCCTCCCTCTCTTTCCTTCTCTCCTCTCTTCCTCTCTCCCTCCTTCTCCCTCTTTCCCTCCCTTCGTCTTTCCCTCCCTCCCTCCCTTTCTCTCTCCCTCCCTCTTTGCTTTTCTCCCTCCCTCTCCCTCTCTTTCCCTCCCTCTCTTTCCTTCTCTCCTCCCTTCCTCCCTCCCTCTTTCCCTCCCTCCCTTTCTCTCTCCCTCCTCCTTTCCTTTTCTCCTTCCCACTCTCTTTCCCTCTCTCCCTCTCTTTCCTTCTCTCCTCCCTCCCTCCCTCTCTCTTTCCCGCCCTTCCTCTTTCCCTCCCTCCCTTTCTTTCTCCCTCCCTCTTTCCTTTTCTCCCTCTCTTTCCTTCCTCTTTCCCTTCCTCCGTCTCCCTTTCTCCGTCCCTCCCTCTGCCTCTTTCCCTCCCTCTTCCTTTCTCTTTCCCTGCCTCTGTCTCCTTCCCTCTCTCTCCCTTTCCCTCTCCCTCCTTCTCTCTCTCTTTTTCCCTCTCTCCCTCTCCCTCCCTCCCTCTCTACTTCCCTCCTTCCCTCTCCTCTCCCTTTCCCCCTCCCTTCCTCCCTCTATTCCTCTCCCTTCTCCCTCTCTCTTTCCCTTTCTCTCTCACTCTCTCCATCCCTTCTCCCCTCTATCATTTATCTGTGAATATGTCTATCATCTGTCAGCTGTGACAAACCTTTTTCAGTGCCGTCGTAGCTTCGATTGGTCGCTAAAGGAATGGCCGTAAGCCGAGGACTGCCTGGATCCATCTCTGCCTGAACCCCAGGGGTTCCTCCCGAATGAGATCCTCGGACGTTCTGTCTAAGCGCCTGTCTCCTAATTCTCTCCCCCCCCCACACACACCCCCCATTTCCCAAATTTACCCTTTTTCCAGGTTTTGATTTTACCAGCAACGTCCTGGCCGGGAAACTCTACGGGATCCCAGCGCAGGGAACGTTGGCTCATTCCTACGTCTCGTCCTTCACCTCCGTGGACGACGTCAACCCACGGGTTAGTATTCAGGGTGGCAGGAGAAGTCCCCGAAAAGACCCCCGTGGTTCAACTGCCCCAAAGAAGTTGGTGTGTGTGTGTGTGTGTGTGTCAATTTATTCCCCAAAGCCCCTCAAGGCAGGACGAGAAGCAAACCGATGGAAACGAACCAAGGAGAGAAACAACTTGGAACTCAGGAGAAATTTCCTGACAGGGAGGACAATTGAGCAGCGGAACTGCCTGCTACCTGAAGTTGTAACTGCTCCACCAAAGGAGGTTTTTAAGAAGAGACTGGACA